TCGATTAGTAGCTCCATACTTTAACCACTGAGCCACCAAAACTCCTATAGAAACTGTAAAGGCTTGCAAAAAACCTCAATTATTTTTTCCCAAGACTGATTCCTAAGTTACTACCTTGTTTTAAAGCCTGAGAAGTCCACAGATATCCTACCTCATAAATTGCTATGTTGGAGTTTTCATACGTAGCTGGAGTTAGACTCCCTGAAGAAAAGGAGAGCCTTGGGGACCTCCCACTTTGGACCTCTGAGGTGATCTGGAAGCTTACGCTGGCATGACTTGCTCTCTGTAAAAGGATGAGAAACAAAGGTTATAACAAAATGCTCTTGATCTAGAACAGATCATTGAGTTATGTATGGTATAAATACTATACTTATCTGATTTTTTTTTCTTTTTATTCCTAAGAAAGTAACTGTAAAAGCTGAATCCTAGAAACATGACACTGATTAATTTTCCCTGTCTCCCAATACTCTTTTTTTCCTTGGTCAGAGTTGGTACCTTGTTTTGCCCCCATATACCACACATATGCACAAAAGTGAAGGTTTTCAGGTGCTTCTACTTGCTAGGGATGATTAGAATCATAGATTTGGATAGTAAGAAAGATCATCAGTCATAATCTAGTCTGAAACCCTCATTTTAGATATGAGAAACAAAGACCAAAAAAGTGAAATGAGTTTCCCAATACCATACAGCTAGTCAATTATTTAGTTAAAAGAAGTGTTGTTCATAAAAATCTAATATTTTGAAAAAAAAAAATCTATACCAGAATGAGGACAGAGTCCCAATGTCCTGACTCTCAGGCCTGACTCTTTTCACTTACCATTCTGAATGGCATCCTTCTTTGTGCTTGCAAGATTAATGGCAGAAGGTATCCCAGAAAGGAATAAGATGCTAGACAGTGAGTAGATCATCTGCCCATGATTTATGAGTCTGATGCTTAAGTAGACCAAATTCTCTACTCTTTGATTTGCTAACTTGTGCACATAGTCCGGTAAGGAAAGGTTGTGAACTACACAGTTTAATGACAAGAGAAAGAGTTATCTGCAATGTGTGTTTGCCTTTAAAAATTGAGCTTCTTTATCTTCAACTGAACCAGTAGACTTGTTTCACATGAAGAAATAATAAATCAATAAATGGTGTTCCTCATATTCTTCTCTATGTTTCCAAGTCTACCATTCTTATAATTACAGCAATTCAAAGCTAGCAGTTACATTGGCTATCATCTAGCTCAGCCCTAAGGAGCTCTCTTGGCACAATGGTTAAGAGCTCAGCTGCTAACAGAAATGTCAGTGGTCTGAAACCACCAGGCACTCCATGGGAGAAAGACCTGGTGATACGTTCCCGTTAAGATTAACCCATTGCCATTGAGTCGATTCCAACTAATAGTGAGCCTGTAGGATGGAATAGAGCTTCATAAAGTTTCCAAGCTTGTCACACCTTTCTCCCACAGAGCAGACAATGGGTTCTAACAACTGACTTTTTGGTTCTCACCCAAGAGCTTAACCACTGTGCCACCAGGTTTCCTCCATAAGGATTATAGCCTAGAAAACCCTATGGGGCAGTTCTACTCTGTCACATGGAGTTATAATGAGTAGAAATTGACTCAGTGGCACCGAACAACAACAGTCCAGCCCTTAACTCTAACACTACCATTTCACAATGAGGAAACAGAGACCTAGAGGGGGATACAGTGGCTGGAACAAGAATCTAGGAGTTAGATTTCCTGATTCTGTGTTCTTTCCACCACATTGTACTTTATTTCACTCTTGAGTGCCAATAAAAAAAAAAAAAATCTTAAGTACTTCCCAACACTCCATCCTTAATGGTCTTCGGTCAACTGAAGATCACTAGTTGATTTAACCCTGAATTATGCACAATACACCAAGACTATCACAGTCAAATTTCCAAGTCAATGGTAAGCTATACCCAGCCCCCAATGTGCTGAAATCTTAATAGCTCAAGATTCAGACAACATGTAAGACTTGACTCTTCACATAACCTTTGCCTCAACCTGCACTCTCTCCAACAGGGCAAGGCCAGGGAGGAATCTACTTCTCTTTCATTTTTTATTTTCATATCTCAGCAGGAGCACCTAGATCTATATGTTGAGATATAGACCTCTCCATGAAGGGCAAAGGAGAAAGCGAGAATATCTGCCAAAATCCACACACATTTGGGCTCCAGCTTCACTTTTTTCTAAAAACTTCCTTTCCTATCCTGACTTTTCCTGACCTGCCAATTTTTCTAGACTACATTAATTTTATATTCACGAAGAGTTTACACTTTCAGACATTCCATTTGGATGGAATTCTTGGCTTGGCTTTTGACTGATTAGACACAGCCAGCTGCAAGTGTGTGACTACACAGCAATTAAGGAAAATGTATGCTTTCCCTACCTTTTCCCATCCAAACTCCTGATACAAGCCAAATGCCAAAAGGGATCTGGAGGCCAAGAGCAGTGTTCTTCTAGGGTAATGCCATCCTTTTCCATCTGGGCCAAAATAGTAAAAATATAAACAACATTCTCTATAAGGCTATCAATCCCTGTTGCTGTTCATTTTTCTCACTCATATGGTGAAAAGTGGTGATGACTTTTTTCACTCCCATTACGTCAAAATTTATGCACAAGTGAAAGAAAAGATCTATCATCATGATCAAGACTCTAAAACCCCAGGCACTTTGTTCATTTGAATGTAGCGCTACTCTGCTATTTATGGTGATTTTGTGAGAACTGGTATGCTTTAGTCACTCAAATACAGTTTATGGGTCAGTACAAAAAGAGGAGGCATAGATAGTTTTACGGACTTCACTAGACTACGGCAGCAAGACCTATACAAAAAAAAAGAGGGCTAATTCAGTACAAAATTCAGTTACATTTATTGTTTTGCTACTTTACATCAAAAATATTTAAGCAGTTGACATTTTAACGTGGATTTCACCAAAAAAAAAAAGATTTTAAAAACTGATTTATCATTTTTGACTAAAACTTTACCATATTTTGCCGCATTTTGACAATGACTTTTAGTCATCTGCTTTTACTACTGATCATTTCTGGATAAAATAGCTGTCAGAGTCAAATACTTTGTTTCTTTTTCTTCATTTGGGTTATTATGGGGTTGCTTCAGAGCTTAAACCTCAGGGTCTAATTATTTTGCTAGAGGTGGGCATAGTAGGTATAGCACATCCAGAATAATTCTACCACCATGAGTTCTAGGGTCGTCTGGTGTCTTCAAAAAATGGAAACTAATATCAGTAACTCTTTATGCCATGAGGGTAGAATTTAGCTTTCAGTTACAGTGATAGTTTTGGCTTTCAGCAACACATTTCCAGGAACATAATATCAGCCTTATAAAAGGATCTGATGATTTCAACAAGTAGGAGGCATGGTTACAATTGAGAATTAAATGAAATAGATGAACATTGTATTTGATTCCAACTGTGTAGGGTATGACCATATTCTCACACAGATAATCTTGCCCCCTGTATTTTCATAAACTTGCTATTCCAATTTGTTTTTTATACGTTGCTATAAAAAATTAGCACAGTGCACTTAGTAAAATAAATACCTTATGGGGGGGTGCAGTTGGCAAATAAATGTAGAATGTGTGTGTTATTTGAGTAAAAATACAGTAAATCCATGCTCACACAGCCTATTAGTTAAAACATACTTTTCAGTGTCACATTTAGCTAAATGACCAAGTTGGTAACAGAGATAAAAATTAATTCTCAGATCCGGTATTGTGATGTAGCAAGGGTAAATCCTCTCCCTGCATCTCACCACCAACCCATTGGAATTTGTAGAGACTAATGTCCCTGTTGTGGCCACATATATTGGCATAGGGAGACACATCCCTTCATTCCCAGCTACCATTGGCAAAAGTCTTCCCCACACGTGGAGTTCTTTTTCTCCAAGCTTCTGTTTCTGCTGTTTTCTCTGCCTAGAATATGCATGGGAGCCAGGCAGGAAATATTAAACAGATGAAATAGGCTGCGTATAAGACAAGAGAGAGTGATGGAAAGTATGGTAAACTGTGGATGAAATGCTCTTCCAAAAAGGGCAAATATTACTGAGTTCCAGTCAATTGCCACAATGGAACACTACATTGACAGATCTTTCAAATTTAAAAGCAAAGCCAGAAACACAGATTTTTATGTGAAATCTCTCAATCTTTAAATTCTAGATACTATTTTTTTAACTGTGAGGGTCAAACAAAAATAGTAAATAGTTTGTGATCTGTGACTTGGACAAATCCTTTCCTTCCTTCATTAAGACCCAATTTTGGTGCCACACTCTCCAAACAGCCTTCCTCCACTGATCTGCCTCCTCTGAAGTCCTACAGTATTTCTAACTTCTGTTGTGCAATATACTGCCTATGCACTCATTGTGTGGTATCATTTGTCTCCCTAACTTGACTGTAATCCCAAGCATTTGCACAGGGAGATAGCTCAGAGCACAGGAATGAATAGGCAATAAGGGCCACAGGGAAAAGTTAACCACATGGAAGAAGTGGGAAGAGAGCTTTACATTATGGGGATTG